TTGTATGTTGTTTGGCTGCTTGTATTTTGAAGAAATGTAATAAATGTAAGTAATTTTTATAAACTGTAAATCAATATTGAATAAAAGGGGCTTAATTTCCATTCTTTTTCACGTTCATTAACAGGGGAAGGGTAACCATTTCCTTCAAGTTATCATAAAGCTGCCAGAGTTCACATCATAGAAAACGATGCACTATTTGGGCATCCAAAATTCATGTGTAGTCAAGCGTTCAGTTCTTTAACTTTAAACCAGTTTCTTGAYTTGGTCAATGACCCGACACATCATTGGTGTGAGCTCGTTTGCCCGTGGTGCTGAAGAAGACAGCTGGAAGGAGCGTTATTTGCCTCCCTGTGTTTTCAGGAAGTCCTGCTCTTCTCATTACCTGGAGGTGGGAACACAGTGAGGGTACAGGCTGAATGATAATCCCTCTTGGCTTTTACTTTACTTACAAGCATGTCTCTCTGTGCATTTCCCTTCTATCGCATTAAAAAACCAGAGGAGGTGACAGTACTTCTACCCTCTGTCCAATGATCTGTCCCAGTAAGACAGGAAGCTGCATCTCAGTGCAAACTGATGCCACAGCTTCCAWTTTCCCCCATTGTCCTCCGTAATAAACTTATTGAACAATCAGAAATGTAATTAGAGACCGAAATAAAATTTGACAAATGCCTAATATTGATTATTTTGTAAGCACATGCAAGTGTTAGCTCACTGAAACYATAGAGTGCAAATGAACACTTCTATTAAGCTTTTAAAAACTGATAATTAAGAGCACAGGAATTTATATGGCCCTATTTTTTATACACTGGAGGTATGTTGAAGGTTCGGCTACAACCTTCAGAAAGTTTCCCAATAGAGCAAGAAAATGAAGTGTTTTTKATTTTGTTTTTGAAGATTTGTTTTTCATTGAACTCGCAGTGGTTACGTTATATTAGTTTTCATCCATTTTATTTTTTTTATACTGGCATTCATGTGTTTTCAGCACAATTCCAGTTCAGTGATATATAGTAGATTTATCCTTGTTTTCTTAAACAGGTTTCTTAAGACAGCAGAGTAACGTTTTATTAAGCCAAGGTCCTAGATGTCTTGTTCATTTTTTTAAATTGATATTCATATTTGAGACATTTTCAAAATTTATATGTACTGAGATTAAGACTCAAAAAGACCAAATAAGATGTTTTGAATAAGATTATTTATTTATTTATTTATTTTCATTTTAGTTATCCAGAACAAAATAGCAATACTTTATTATTAACTGGTCAAGGGTGCAACAGCAAGGTCAGAAACACAAGTTAGTTTATGCATTTCTTCACAAAACTGATTGTTTCCCAAGCCTAAAAGGCAATATAGTTGTTAGTGCTGCTTTTGGAGCTTCTGGTTAATCCATACCCCTTTTTGGACAACTTAAATGATTGTGAAAAAAAAAAGCCCTTTAAGAGATGGTTCTGGTTTTAAACTTCTGACTTTGCAGAATATTAATGTTAAGCAACAGGTGGGCAACTAAAACTTTTCATCAGTGAGTGTCTGCAAAGTATGACGTATTTTAGTGGAGCATCAGCAAAACAGCATGGTGAACTAATGAATATAAAATTGCTCTCAACACCCACAGGCATTATATAGGTTCTAGTGCTGATGAGCCATTTCTCTGCAGCCATTTGAGGACCATTTGACAAGGATTTRTGTGATTCAGCCCAATTTCTGTAAGTTACACAGAGATTACACTTTTTTACATTGTGAATGAAAATCAGGTATTTAGCACTTGTTTCAACTGATAGAGACACAGCATTTCCTCATTGATAATTACAGTATGTTTAAGCAGCTTATTAAACATCTTAAGGTAGATTAACATATTTGAAATATTGAGYACATCAACTGATCTTTTTAAAATTGGTGTTGCACGACTGCTCTGTGGTTAGCTCTGATGCCTCACAACAAGAAGGTCCTGGGTTCGATCCCTGCATGTTCTCCTTGTGCTTGCATGGGTTTTCTCCGGGTACTCCGTTTTCCCCCACAGCATACAAATATGAACAGTAGGTTGCCTTCAGGCCCAGGCTGCCCTTGCAAAATAAATATGATCTCAGTGGGATTTGCCTGGTTAAATAAAGG